ACAATTTGTTGAAAAGAAAATGGATGAAAATGAAGTGAGTAGTGGGAAAAAAATATGCATAATGTTTATACTGGTTCACTCAATCTGAGCTACGTCCAGGCTCCTTCAATTGAAGGGTTCCACTAATCACAAAGGATTACAAGTATTCTCAACCACTTCTGGCTCGTCAACTTCACTTGTCGATGCTAGTATTCTTAACCACTTCTGGTTCTCCAAGTATTCTTCCCCACTTCTGGCCTGCTAGCTTCACTTACTAGAGCTAGTATTCTCAACCACTTCTGGTTCACAAGTATTCTTTCTATCAGCCTCTTCAGGATTTATAGCAAATAAAGGTGTTGAGTGTGTTTGCAACTCTCACAAAGAGGATAAGTTAGTTTCTACACTCGCTAAGGTGCCTAACCTTAGTTTCACAAGAATAAGTGTCTAAGTGTTTGTTTACTCTCGTAGAGAGGATAAACTATTAACAACACTTACTAAGATAAGCTATCTTAGTTTTTACACAGATATACAGGAAATGCTTTGAGAAGAAATATAGCTTATACTCTTTCGCTTTCTTTTTCTTATTGCACATTTTCTCTACTTCTGAGTTCTACATCTTCTTCTTCTTTGCCTTGATACTTATAGCCGTTTAGTAAATCTGTTCATTGTTTGAATTCAAATTTTCCCGTTGGAGCGTAGCTGCATGTCGTTGCATATGGAGACTTGTTCATGGTTATGTGAATCTCTTCATTTAATGCATTTGATCTTGCATTAAATGTTTGCTGGTATACGTGAAGTCCTTTTGTGTAGTTGATTACTCCAATGCCTAACTTCAATCATAATCTAGGCATATTTGTACTTGTCTCATCAGTTTAGCTGCTATGGTGTTGTCTTTCTCTGAAAAGTAGGTGTCCTTTCTTTGACATACGCAGCTTTGACTTGTAACTACATGCTTGCCTATTTTTCTTCTTTTTTGTATTCCAATTTGATGTACTTTGGTGTTTCTTGTATGATTTCCCTCAATTGTGATTAGTGGACTTTAGACGCGCTTTATCATTTTTAACTACGCTTGGATATATGATACTTCGTCTGATCTTGACTACTCTTTACGTCTGGTCATGAGAGTGAGGATGACTTTGTTTGCTTGTTTGTTAGGCTCTATCTGATATGTTTAGCCATCTTTTTGTCCCGTTCTTGGCTTAGTCTCATATGATGCCTGTTTTGGTCTTGCATCTGATTCCTCAAGCTTCGACTGATAGATTTGTCCTATCTTATATTTGATTTTGTTCTGAATCAACCTTAGACCTGATACTAGCTTTTGCCACTGTTTTTTGTCTTGTCCTACTCAATTATGCTTGATCATATTTATCCTTTATTTTTCCTGAACTTATTGTTATTCATCTGAAACACTAATACACGTGTTAGTAATAACAATATGTATTATATTTTTCATATTCAAAACCTTGGTAGCAATTGCGAATGCGCTTAACACAAGTATCGAATTCATATGAATTTGTGTAATAACCAATTAATCTAGTTTTAGTACTATTTAGGAAAATAATGACCTTAGGGTTTGAATGCATAATTGTTAAAGTATCTTTTGAGGCCATCAATTTCATAAAGTAATTAGAAAGTGTTGTGAATCAAGATTAAAGAGCACAATAAATTAATTTTAATGACCTTCTTTAGATTGATCCACCAATTATTTAATTTCAAAATTATATTCTTGTTATTCCAGCAATCCACAAATGTATTTTAACCATGATCCTTTATAGGTGAAAAATTTTAAATCTCATAATTCAAACCATAACTCCTTGATAAAATTAATTAAGAAATTTGAGCTAAGATATAAGGTTTTAACGTAGGCTAATAATTCTTACATTATTCATAATAATAAATGATATTAGGGTTTCTTTGCAGATCATGGTTTCAAAGTGTTTCCCAATATCAATCAATTACATGAGATCGGGCATTGGGTGATAAAGCCAAGACAATAATTAAGAGTAAGAAAGAAAATAATTAACTAAATAAAAAGAATTTTTTTTGAATAAATTCGAAGTTTACACTCAACAGAGTCAACTACCTCAATTCCTAACACAGGAGAATTAGCTACCTATGACTAATATAACAAACAAAAAAATATGGGAGGAGGTTTTTGAGGGTTCGATGGTGAAGGTTTTTTCTGTCACTTTGTGCTCTTTAAGGTAGACCTAATGTTCTCTTTCTACTAGTTATGATACACTTATGTTTTTTAGCCTTTTATATGCCATCAAATATGGGCTTGTCAAACTTTACTTGTGTAAGTTATGCAAGCCTTCAGGATTTCTTCCAATAGCCCTTTGGTTTCTCTTGATTGAGGCCGTACCCAATCAAATGAAATGAAATTTTTGTAGTACTAGGAAGTAGTGACTCCTAGGTCATCTCTCTCAAGGAGCAACAAGCCAATCAAAGGTTCTCGCAGTACATAACAAACACATGAATTGGGGGGATTTATACATTCAAAATGAACCAGCACACGTGAACAGTAAGTGAATGGAACAGTACACATCAACTCTCCAACTCAATTGCAGCACCCATATCATTAGTTCAAAATATTACCCTATTGACCTAAACCTCAGTTCAAGTTTGAGTAACCACTAAGCATCATTACAATCGTTGAACACATACAAGTGAAGCATTAGCATGCATCCCTATCTCTATTCATGGGATTAAGCAAATCGTGAGCAAAGCAAACCAATTTAAGTTGAAAACGAAACCATTAAGCATGAGATAAGCTCGTGACCAACCATAACAGATTAATAAGGATTAAAGCACAAGGACACATTAAACTGAATAGACCTCCATGGTGCATAAATGAGTTAAAGAGTAATACAACTTAGCCTTCCATGGAAGTGGAAGACATAACAGAAAATGGAGAAGAGAAAAAGATGCTACAACAAACAAAAATACAAGAAAAGAGAAGATATGAACAAAATAGTTTTGAGAGTTTTGATGATAACAAAGGACATGAACAAAAGAGAAGATATGAAGATCATGAATGAATACCAAATGTAATAGGAGTAGTTTATGTTCTTATGTGTTGAGTTGCTTTGTTGGTCAATTTGGTTTTCTATGCATGTTTGTGCTTTGTGCATGAGTTAAATCTTAATTTTAATTTTCTAAGAGTGAGTATGATGATGATAAGTAACTTGGAAAGGTTTTTGAATGTTTGAAATCGAATTTTGAAAACTAACTCAAAATAATCGATTATTACTAACTATAATCGATTATCTCAACTTTGTTTTTTAAGAGGTTGAGAAACCTTGCTGTAATAATTGATTATCTGTGAAATAATCGATTATTCTAGAAAGTGCTATCTGAAATAATCGATTATTCTGTTCTTCAGTGATTTCCAGAATTCATGAAGAAAAAAATAATCGGTTATCCTTAAAAATAATCGATTACTTGGGTATGAAAACTTTGTAAAAGTTGTTCTCTTATTCAGAAACGAAGCCAAGTGATATTATGAAAATTTTGTGATAAAATTTTGATCTTTGTGATCTTCTTGGAGAGTTTTCTTTGTGAAACCAAGAAGTAAAACATTTTGTGAAATGCTTTGAGAAGAATCATCATCATCACTACATTCTTAGAAAGAGGAATTAAGATTGATCAAGAATTCACAGTCTGATTTGTTCAGTTTCCAGGTGAATTCGTTCCTTTAATCTTTTTGTGTATTGTGTTAAAAGTCTTCAGTAGGTTTCTCAAGTGGTAAGGAAATCTTGTAGTGGGTTTGCACAAGAAGTGTTTTCTTGGATGTAAAAAAGGGTCTATCTTGTGTGTTGAAGTACGTGCATGTGTGGTATGCTTGTAAAACTTCTTCATTGAGGTAGTGGAACAAATCTTGATCAGGTTATGATTGAGAACTAGATGTAGGTCACATGTTGAGTGGCTGAACCAGGATAAAACACTTTGCACTCTTCTTTCATCCTTATCTCTTACATTGAACAATCTTTAATTGAATGTTAAAATGGCTGGTCTTAATTAATATGTTTGTATGATTAAAAATGGTTTAAACTGAAACACAACCATTGCATATTAGTTGTTCTTAAACTGGATTCAATAAAGATTAATCAAGAAATCATATAGGAGTCATTCTCATATACTAAAAGGTTCAATATACTTCATATGAAATTAATTTTAGAAAAGTGTTTTTTTAAAGAAATCAAGATCCTTAAACTCTGAAAATTTTTTAAGTGTCATTGAATCTAATTCACTTCCCTCTTAGATTGAGCCATTATTTTCTATCATTATGTACTCATCTAGCCAATGACATAAGTTGGGCCACACACTTGTATTACTGAGCTAATATATCAATCTCTAACTTAGTTAATCATCTTAAATCACATGTGTTAATCAAGTTGGTATATGAACTTGGTCATAATATTCGTATACCAACTTGGAAACATCGATGTTCTTCTCAGACTAGTTTCCTCATATTATAATTGCAACAATTATGGAACTAATGAAAATGGACAAATACGATTAATTAACATAACAAGTAAGAAAAATTAATCACAAACTAACATGACCGTTAAAATTCTTTTTACAGATACTTTCATCGCGATTAAGATGGATATTTAAGATAACCTAACTCAATTTTCAAGGACGAGAAAGTAGAAAATCTTACAAAAATAACTACTTCATCTTATTATATTTTTTATCGGAGAGGATAATATCTTGTAATTATAAGAAAAAAAATTGGGAGTGAATTTCTGCCTGGAATAATCTTTGCTCACACCCGGTGGAAAAGCATGTTTGGTTAACATCTCCAACCCGAAGAGGACTCTAGTATAATTGGATAAAAGAAAGTAAAGACAAGAACAGAAAAAAGAAAAAAGAAGAGAGAAAAATTGCAATAATCCGAATCCAAACTGCCCCTCATTAAAAAAATAAAATAAAATAAAACCCTTCTTTTGCTTTTACTTATTTATTTATTTATTTTTCGGGGACGGCTCCTCCTCTCTATTTAAAACTATCCACTCCAAACAAACTAAAAAGAGAGTTGGATACACACTGCACAGAAACACAACTGGTTTCCGAAACCGCAATGCTCTCTCACTCTGAGTCAGTTCCCATTTAAACGAGCCTCACCTCACCTCACCTCACCTCAAAGACCCTCGTCCTTATCGTAATAATTATGCAGCCCTGTAGCAGAGAAATGCAAGGACTCAACTCTCTCTTAAACTCCTCCCAAATCTCCCTCCAGGACCTTCACAACCACAACGCCATCAACCAGATCCAAAATTCACACATGAACCAACACCAACAACAACTCACCCCTCACTTCGACCCAACCTCCCACGACGACTTCCTCGACCAAATGCTCTCCTCCTGCTCCTGGCCCGACCTCGCCCCAAACAAGCCCTTGTGGGACCCCAACCCCCCCACTTCCGACGAAACGACGCCGTCCAACAACGACAATGTCGCTTTCCCCTACGACGAGCACTCCAGCTTAGCCTCCAAGTTCCGCAACCACCAGATCAGCACAAAGAACAACGCAGCTCTCATTCTTCACCAACAACTCCTCATGTCCCGAGCCCCCGACTCTGGCCTCCTCAACTTGCCCCTCAACTTGCCCGGAAACGATGTCGTTGACGCCTCCAACTTCAAATCCCCAAATCCCGTACCACACTCTTTCACTCTAACCCTAAACCTTTCCTTTTTCCATTTTTCCAAAATTTTATTTTCATTTTTTATTTTCCCAGGGAGGTGAGGCTTCAGTCCAAGCTCTCTACAACGGCTTCACTGGATCTCTGCATGGCGCTGGTCAAGCCTCTAACCAGACTCGTACCACGCTCTTTCACTCTAACCCTAAACCTTTCCTTTTTCCATTTTTCCAAAATTTTATTTTCATTTTTTATTTTCCCAGGGAGGTGAGGCTTCAGTCCAAGCTCTCTACAACGGCTTCACTGGATCTCTGCATGGCGCTGGTCAAGCCTCTAACCAGACTCAGCATTTTCAACACCTTCAGGTTAGTATTTTCCATTTTAATTTTAAAGATAATAATATTTATTATTGTTCTTATTAATATTATGTAGCATTGATGATTATTAACTTTTTTGATTTGAATGACAGGGAAGCTCGAATCCGGTGCATGGGCAGAATTTTGGTGGCACGGCGAACCAAGCTCCGGCGAGTGGGGCCACCGGTGGCACGCCGGCGCAGCCCAGGCAGAGGGTTCGGGCGAGGAGGGGTCAAGCCACGGACCCACACAGCATCGCTGAAAGGGTACTTGCTACTACTGTTTTTCTCGCTGAATTTAATTCTTGGCTTGATTTTCGTGTTCTGAAAATGGAGCCCAGTGTATCGTTTTCGGTAAACAGTATTTCTTTCAAAGCGTGAAAAGTCAATTCTTCAACGAAACTACTGAATAGCTTAATAGTTAGGGTTTATAAAATATTAAGAAACATAAAGCGAAGGAAACGCCACGATAATATAGGACAGAGTCGATAATGGTTTAGGTTTGTCATTCTGAATTTGGTTGGATATGTTGTTTGTGGCAGTTACGAAGGGAGAGAATCGCTGAGAGAATGAAGGCCCTACAGGAACTAGTTCCCAATGCCAACAAGGTAAATGCCCGATTACCGCGGCGATAAATCCTCAAATATTGTTATTTATTTATTTTTATTAATTATTAATTATATTTATGACGCCAAAATTAGTTCTAGCTAATTAAAAGAAATTGAACGGGAGTAGCAATAATCGGCCATCACGATGAGCACTTTGCCACATAGTAACAGTAATTTTGCTGTGATTTAGTGGTAAATGGGTAATCCCAACAAAATTTACTAGTTGTTACTTGTTAATGTGATTTTGTTGTTTATACGAAGTTGTTGCCATCATGTATTTCCATGTATGTGTAACATGGAAAAAATGGTTGGTAACGTCGCGCTCGGGAGGGCTCTCAGCGTTTGTCTTGCACTCTCATCATACGATTCCGTGCGTACTTGAAATACTAAGCTGGATAGCAGAGGTTATCAGGTCCCACATAGCACAATGATCACTGGTCACGGTAGGGACCAAGGGTAGCAACTTCTGACTTTAAACGATATTGAGGGGTAGTCTAGTCATAACATATGAATAATATTACTGTTTATTATGTGAATATTACTATATTATTACTAAGTACTAACAATAAATGGGTCAATCCCTAATTGAAATATTCGATTGGTTGTGGAATGACAGACAGACAAGGCATCCATGCTGGATGAGATCATCGATTACGTGAAGTTCCTGCAGCTCCAAGTCAAGGTGCGCTTCCCGCGTTTTACTCTCTTATAGTATTTCTTAATTTGATTTTATTCCTCATCAACATCAAGTAATAGAATAATTTAATTGTCGAGATAATTTTTAATTAAAGGTTCTAAGTATGGGCTTGTGGTTATTAAATTCCACTGACCCCTGCCTTCAATAAATAAATAATTTTTGTTATTGTTTTGGGTTACAGGTTCTGAGCATGAGCAGATTGGGCGGTGCAGCTGCTGTGGCTCCCCTTGTTGCTGATATGTCCTCTGAGGTTATTACTACACAAATGTTTCTCCATTTTCATTCACTTTATAGTAACCCACCAAAAGTTATCATAATAGAAATAATGTCTAAATTTCTTCAATTGAATTAAAACTTCGTCCATTTTACATTGCGACCCATTCCTGAGGACCTTCACA